TTCCAACTAATTCTATATTTAGTGATATTTTTCCTTTTAAGATTGATTGGTTTATTTAGTATTTTAATAATCACTAGCCCCTTGGCATATGCGTAACATGGGTAGTTAGGTTCCATAAAAGTATGACATATTATCTGATTTTGTTTTTAATTTTAAAATATTTAAAAAATATATGAATTTACCATATTATCCTCATTTAATTAATAATTTCAATTCTTAATATTTGAATTAACTAAGGATATTTTTTGGTATTTTGAATGCTTCACCATTCTCTGCCTTTTGCTTTATATATATAGATAACAAATTACTCAATGTCTTTTCCACTGCCACATACATCATATTACAAATTTAGGTTTTAGAGTTATTTTTTTAATATCATTTCACGGGTTTCCCTTTGCTTACTAATAAATTTTATTATAAATTTCAATTTATGTAATAATGTGATTATGACATGACTTGTGTTTATAAAATCATATAGAGTAATCTTCACTTGGCTAACTCGATATGGTTTGGTCGTAAACATCTTTAACTCAAGTTGCATTATTATAAATCGATGTGGTAGAAAAGGCGAAAGAATTCTTGGCAAATAATGCATTGATCACCAACAAAAATATATGTTCCCATGATACCCTTATTTTAATTAAACACTCTTCTATGAGATAGGACTACTTAAGTCAGTTAAGCATTGTTTATATAAACCTAACCAACAGATACTATCACCTAAATTGATTATCTGGGGTTTGACTGTGCATGTGCTATCTGTCCAGCAAAAACGAAAGAAAAAAAAACTTATATTATCGTGTACGTAATATTTATAAATAATAAAAAAACTAAGTATCTAAATAATACACATATATTTTAAACCTAACACAACAACGGGAAGAGATATTTGAGGATCTGTTTTCAAAGTATTATAAACAAGCACATATGCAAGTTGAAAAGAGAAATAAGAGAAAATAATTCATGGGTCTGTGTTGTAGCCGTTGGGTGTCCAAAATAAGGTTTAAAATTAAAAGCTTCTTCTCTATGAAAAGAACAGTGCATGATGATCATGGTAGGAAAATAGTCATTGCATAAATGGCTGGCTGGCTGGCTGGCTTGTAAATACCAAAATCATTAGATTCCACCGAACGCAGAAAGAGGCCAAAAACAAAAAAACATATAAATTTGAGTACAGTGCGGTGGGCAGTGGGCAGTGGGCAGTGGGCACCACAATGTTCAACAACTTCCCTGATTAATTCGTTCGTATATACAAAATTTGTAGGCCCGTTTTACATCATTTATTCCCGACATGTTAGACGCACAAATCTATAATAAAATGTAACTCGTCATGCGTGAGTGTTGACGCGTCAAGATGCTAAATTGAAATGTGAATTTGCTTATATCGCAAGAAAAAGATGTACAACACATCACTATTCTTTGTCATGATGCTAATTGGAGCTTAAAATGATGCGCTCTCATTATTTGACAATTTCTTTCCAGTTGGCTTACTCATTTTAAACTATTTTCATTTGGTTTGCTGAATGCTTGTTAAATATAAATTCACACTCTAATAATACATCTAACCATATTATAGTAAATTATTTGTTTTTTGGATTGGACTTTCATTTTGTTATTTTTATGACTTTTGTATTGCGTTTTTATATAACTCCATAATATGGTAATAACATGTTTATTCCTTTAACGAAAACACACAAAAACCAAACCAAACCGAACTTTGTAGAAAAGAAGGACACTCCAAATGGCTATGCATTAATTTAATTTAATTGTTAAATAACGTGGGTGGTCTCCACACGCAAATTGGTGGTAAACTAAAGGGTGATTGATGGCCAACCCAAAAGCATGAGTGCAGTTGGGGTTTTTTTGGAAATGGCGGGGTTTGGGCGTTGGTGATTTGATGGGTCTCATCTCCTCTCAGGATTTTAGCAATTTAGCCCCATTTGAATCACATTCGCCACCATCCTATCCTTCACTTTTCTATATATCATTTCATAAAATTTGCATCTTCTTGTTGTAACATCTTTTCATGTGTTATTCACACACCTATCTTATGATTGAGCCTCTGGAGTTTTTCGAAGTCAGAATCAGCACCACTTTTTTTAAATATGTTTTTTTGTTGTTGTTGTTGTCGTTTTTGATTGAGGACGCAATACAGTTCCTTCAAGTTCATGTCACAAATGGAATGGAACCCCACCCAATGTCTCTCAGAAAGATTGATCAAACTCCATGTAGCATCCTTTTGCTGCTTTGCTTAATGATGCCAATCCATCTTTCTGTAACTTACAGCCTATATGCTATGTATGTATGCTATATGGTAGTTTGAACCTTTTTGTGTACTTGGCATGGTTTTTAGCTGCAGGTTCCTCCCTTGTTGTCACTTGAACTCAAAGAATCAGTCAAATAAGGTCTGATGTTGACTAAATAATATCTATAAGTGTGTGTCAATTAGTAGATAGCATTTTGACTAATTGAGTTATAATTTACTTGATATATCTTGATTAGCAAGTCATTTTCTTGGACAACTGTAAGACGGAATATTTAGAAATGAGATCAATATCATCCACGTACCCCTACTCAACTTTAGCATGGCCAAACATGTCAAGTAGTCGATGTATTCATATACAAAGACATGCAAACAAAAATACACGCCACTCACTGATGTGTTATTGTCGTCTATCACATGTACAAGGTCTACATTTATATATATATCAACGTTTATATAGAGCACGTCAAGAGTGGGCCGGAGGGTCCCAAATAATTGAAACATATTAGAAGAAAATATACTACAAGAATCTCGTGCATTGGAAATTTGAAATAACCCTAGATTAGAATCTTGATATATATATATATATATATATGTGTGATATATAATATATCTATGTGTGTGTAGAAGAAATAACCCTAAGAGCAAGTCCAGCGGCAACACAAAATCGGGCAAAAGGCTGCCCTTGAGAGCCCAAACGTCCTCCAGCACGCAACAATGAGCCTGGGCAAATGGTGGGTCCCACCAGCCTGGGCAAGCCCACCGGCTAATCCTGCCTGGGCTGTTGCCCTCGGGCTGCTGACGTCAGTAGCTGATTTTCAATTTTTTTTTACTGTTGAACCCACCAACCCACATTGTCCAATGGTTACAAGCCATGTGACTTCTCCTAGAGCCTCTAATAAAAAAATCTTGCACAATCCAACGGTTGTCCAATTTTTGGCTAAAAAAATTGAAAAAAATATCAAAATATTCTGGAAATTTTTTCTATACATACCTACCAATATTATTCACTTTCCACACCAATTTAATTTCAAAATTTTATCCGAAAATGTTATCTTGATTTTTAGGTGAGGATTTTACGATAAATATTAACACTTGGGAATTGAAAATCTTATCCGAAAAGCTTATCAAAATCAATGGTTTAAGTAAAAAAAATAAAAAATAAAGTTAAGTAAATAGTAATTGCCTTAGACTTACCCTAAACTTAGCCCTCATGAGTGGAACCACAAATGACAAGGCTGACACTATTTACGTGAATAGTAGCAGCCATTGTCTTAGACTTAGCCCTTGTGGGTGGAAGTGCTCTAAAAGCAATAAAAGACTCAATATGATATGAATACGTTAACGTGCAAAACAAGTTTGTGCAGCACCTTCCTTAATCTGCCCAAAGTAAGTAGACTAATTGGCTTCTTAGAATACTAAATATTCTCACTAAGCAAGCATATTTCAAGGAGGAAAAAACTAAAAAGGTAATGGGAACGAAATAAAAACGTCAAAGAAAAAGTGAGACGAAAGGCCAAGGTGATGGAAGGATGCACAAGAAGTCTCCATCAAGTAGTTATGCGGAGAAAGCAAGCTCGGAAAAGAATGCTTATCTGACAACCACTAACTGTGTGATCATTATAATTTCTATACTAATCCCACAACAGATATATAAACATAAATATTTATATTTTTAAAAAGGTCACGACTCATGATTACGAAACAAATCTAAAACATTTAATTGGCAGAAAAATGCTTGCATCAATGATAGCAAATCCATTCTCCTTTTTTTTTCTTCTTTTCGATTTCTGAAATTCAATTATTTCCTCCATATTGTATATGCGAGTTTTTGATTTTTCATCATAAGTATTAGTGGAGGTGGACGAGGGAGGGGCTAGATAGCAAGTTGGGGTTTGTAAAAGTAAATCAGTTTCAAGCGTGGTCCTCCTAAATGTCTAACCAAGTGCATGCAAGCTCATGAACATACATAATCACTAGTCTTCCCTTTTGTAGCAGGGTCCAAGGCAAATTGTGGAAATGTCTCCACACCCTCTTTTTTTTGTGTGGCCAATTTTATCAGGCTTGTTTTGGTTAAAACTTTTTGCACCTTTTTCCCCATGGGATCTTACATAAATAGGGATTACAATCCAACAGTCTAATAATAACTTTGCACTAGATTAAACGGCTATTGAGGAGCCCCTCATCATAACCCCTCATTCTAGCCTCCATGTTATGCGTATTCGGTAATTCAATTTGATGGAGTTTATATTGATAACTCAGAGGTTGGGCTGGGCCTTCAAGTGACTATCTCTTGCATATATATACATGTATAGGCCTAATTCAGTTTTAAAAGATGGGCCACCAGTCTGGCCCAATTGAGTGAAAAAGCTAATCCAGTTTAGCAAGCAAGGGCCAGGCCTTGTCTGTTTTCTTCTTTCTTTTATAATTGTTTGTTAAACTGTTAGGACAGAATAAATACCTTAGTACAATCAGAGCTGGTTTTATTTTGTCCTTCTGATGCTTTGCTAAAGTTCAAAGTTTCGTCAGAAAATTCCAAAACCATCAGAGCAAGCAATCCCAAGAAGAAGGCAATTGTTTAAGAAACTATTTTCAAAAGAGATTTCTATCTATATATAACAACTGAACTGATTGAGCACAACACAACACTGCCAAATCAAAAGCAAGATTAACCCATCAATCAAACGCCCTTCTAATCTCCCTATTAATTAATTAATAAACTTCATTGCAATTTGCAATGCAAACTACTACTGTAACCTATAGGTACCAACGGTCAGCCTCTGGATTGACTGTGGGAGCACACTTGTTTGGCTTCTTAGCCATCATACTCATGCTTGTTTGGTTGCTGCATTACCGTGGCGGTTTGGACTATGATTCAGACAATTCAGATCGGGTTTTCAATGTAAGTAATGATTTTATTAATTTAACCTTCATATATAACCACCATTTAATTACTTACTTAATGGTGGGTTATTGTGCTACACTTACAGCTTAGAGCTAGCTTTAGTAAAACTCGAGTCCTTAACTTCCTTCGTTTTAACTTGGCATTGGCAGGTTCATCCGTTTCTCATGTTCTTTGGGTATATTTTCTTTGCTGGTGAAGGTAATTAGGCTAATTTAACACATGTTACATGCATAGGATATAATTAATCTCGATTAATATTAATATGAGTTGGTATATGTTCAGCGATGATGGCATACAAGACAGTATTGTCGGCACACAAGGTGCAGAAGTACGTTCATGCCTTGTTCCACCTGATAGCTCTGTGTTCCGGTATCTTCGGGATATGCGCTGTTTTCAAATACCATGACATGAACAACATAGGGGACATGAATTCCCTCCATTCATGGATTGGCTTGTCCACCTTTATCTTGTACTGTTTGCAGGTAAGTACGTACATATATTTTATATATCATTATCATAAATTACACATATTATTAATTAATTTGAACTTGATTGATTGGCAGTGGGTGCTTGGATTTGCTACTTTCTTGTTTCCAAAAGCGTCGGAACGGACGAGGATCAGAATTGTTCCATGGCATATGAGTGGGGGGGAGGGCGCTGCTGTACTTGTCAATATGTGCTGCTCTAACTGGCTTGACACAAAAATCCACGTTCCTTGGGGTTGAGCATACTCTGTCTCACAGAGAACTGAATCTGATCAACTTCACTGGACTGTCAATCCTCCTCTTCGGCATCTTCGTTGATCTTTCTGTTGCTCTTGCCCGTTATGTGTGATTAATTCCTCATTATTTCTTCATTTTCGAGCCTTTACAGATGGATTATTGGATTGCACACATTAATTGGTTGGGTGTGTTGTGTGCTTAATTATGTATCTCTTTTTTCTTTGGTGTGAATGATTTGAGCAGATCGACATGAGGGTTCATATATATGGATATAGATTTATGAATTCAATTATTTTTTATTCCTTGGTTGAGCTTGTATCCGTCCATAATAAATACCATACTTTATTTGTATAAAGTATGCTAGCTTGTTAAAAGAACCAAAAGACAGACACTAAAAGAAAAAGGGAAAAAGCACTCTCCCAAGCAACATGTATATATATGCATCATAACTCTCTTTTTTTGTTTTATATTAACTTAATTCAACTCACTGATTTTTCTCTTAATGAATAATTATTTATTAAGAGTGCAAAGGAATGGCACTAAGGCCCGTTTGAGATTGCTTTTTTGGCCAAAAACCTGCTTAACTTTAAAGTTAAGTAGTTTCATATGTTTGGTAAAAATAAAATATCCTGATTATTTTAAAAGCAGTGACTTTTTAACAGCAGCTTTTAAAAGCAGACTTTGGGTTGCTTTCAAAAGAAGCAGAGATGAATATTTAATGAATTTTTTTAATTCCTAAAATATCATCATTCATTTTTAAAAATGACACCACCTCCACTTCCTCATCCAACTTCACCACTTGCACCACCATATTCACTACCTTTACAACCACCGCCACCGCCACCGCCACCACAACCACCACATCTTCCTCCTCCTCATCCTCCGCCACCACCACCACCTCCACCATCACCTCCTCCAACTCCACCTCCACCTCCTCCTCCTCCACCACCGCCGCCGCCACTACCACAACCACCGCTGCCACCACTACAACCACCACCACCGTCACCACCACTACCACCACCACCACCACCTCCACACCACCACCATCACCACCTCCTCCAAAACCCCCACATCCACCACCACCACTATGCTGCCACTACCACCACCATCACCACCTCCACAACCGCCATCCCCACCACCACAACTACCACAACCACCAACTCTGCCTTCATCTCCACCACAAACTCTACTCCATCACTACCACTACCACCACATGATTAATGTATAACACTTTTAACATCATGTTTTTGTTTTTTTTTTAGGACATTTCCTATTGAGATGGGCGATAGCATACTAAACTTACACATACTACACGAATGCTAGGACTCAAACCTAAGACCTTGCCTGAGGGAGTAAATACTCCAAACCACTATACTAGTGGGTCCTTTGCAACATCATGTCTGTTTTAGTCATTATTCACAGTTACAATAATTTTATATTAAAATTTATCAAACGGTTTTAACACTGTTTTTTGTACTAACAGCACTTTAAAAATAGTGTTTATCAAACATGGAGCTGCTTTACTTTACAGCTAATTATTTTTAAAGCACAACAGAATCAACTTTTTAAAAAAGTGACAGAAATCCCAAACTATGCCTAATTACGACTCTGTTTTATCGTGGATGTTAACCTTACCTTGCTCTTATTTTGCATGTGGTGAAAATTAAAACACAGACACGAAACGTGATTCAATTTAATTGTGTCATAGCAAGCTATAATCAGCAAACCCTATAGCTGGAAAAACTTGCAGTCACATGATTGAAGCAACTTTCATGATCTAAATAGAGGAAGGACAAAAAAGATTCAAAGTTGCTTTCAATTTTCAATGGAACTTGTATTTTCTGTGCTTCATGATTGTGATTCACGGCTTTACTTAGCCGTACGTGACAAACAAAGTGGCAAACCTCTCCATGCCTTTGGGCTTGCCACCTTAGGTTTTGCCGGCTAGACGGTTTCCCATATTCCATATATTTGGCGGCATCCTTCTCGTTCAAACAAAAAGGCTTCTCTTTTTAACCTCAAACAAAAAAGCTTCTCTTTTTCCCATATTCCATGTACATTGATCTTATCAAATTTGCATCCTTTGCTAATACCGGCTCTCTTCGCGTGTTGTTAAATAGTACTAACCGGTCATTCCATAATACTCTAATTAAGGTTGTAGCCCCGTCCCTTCTTTTGCTTCAAACACACAACCACCTTCACAGAGGCTCAATTATAATGGCACCGAAGAGCCGTAGCTACCAGGTATCAGCAACCCCAGTTACAATATTTGCCCATTTGTTAGCTATAGCCATAACAACCCTTGTGCTTATCTGGCTCCTACACTTCCGCCATGGCCTTGCCCTCAACTCCTTCATCACAGAGAAAATTTTAAACGTAAGTTGTTCACTTAAGCAAAATCTTGCATACTCATCATATGTTAAGTTTATGTGATCATATTCATATTTTCTGATTTTTACAGGTTCATACGCTTCTAATGGTAATTGGGTTTATTTTGATTGGAGGAGAAGGTAATGGAACTGATCAGGAGGTCCTCTATATAATCTATATATGTGCCTCTTAAAAGATTCCATCTTGTTAGTTAGCAGCATTAATTAATTTGAATTAAGGACTGATTAGGTGCCAATTATTAGTGCAGCTATCATGGCATACAAGACAGTCCCAGGGAAAAGGAACACACAGAAAATGGTGCACCTGATATTGCATTTTCTAGCTCTGGTGGCTATAATCTTGGGGATTTATGCAGCTTTCAAGTTTAATCATGAATCGGGAATTCCAAATTTGCTCACCTTACATTCCTGGCTCGGCATAATCACCATCTCTTTATTTGGTCTTCAGGTATTTTTTTTTTACCACTGTCGATGCCTTGCCTTGCCTATACAACAAATATTATTAGCCAATTAATAATTATTTTTTTGTTGTAGTGGTTGTTTGCTTTCTTTGCCTATGTGTTTCCGGGCGCAGAATCGTCAGCAAGGGGAAATCTTGTGCCATGGCACACTTTCGTGGGCATTGTCATCTTTCTGCTAGCAGTATGCACTGCCGAGGCAGGGTTGCTGGAGAGGTTCCTTTTCTTAAGCATAGGGCGCACCCAAGAAACACTTATAATCAACTTCACTGGGCTTTTGATCTTTCTATTTGCAGCCAGCGTCAGCCTCACTGTCCTCCTCCCTCGACTTAAAAATTAATTAGCTAGAGCTTGTCATATTTCATGGTTTTGGTTTGTCGGTTAAAATAGCATGCCCTCTACCTATATATTCCTTTTTATTTATTTGTTAATTAATTACTTCATTTCTACATTAATAAAAGATTTGGTTAGTGAGCCAGATGGGATGCCTAAATGTATACTACAAATTAAAGCAATGAAATATTATTCTCTTGCTTTCTATCTGTCAAAGTATATTACCAAAATAATTGAAAGTAGATCGTAGGTGGGTATCTAATGATAATTTAATCTCAGCTCGCAGCATCAGTTTACTTTAGCATAATAATGCCGGCTGTCCTTTTTGGGTGGATAATGGATTGGATTGGATTGTATGCACTCTATTGCAAATCTGCAATCACAAATGGCGTTTTTGCAAACCAATTTTGATTTATTTTTACAAAGGTGGGCAGAGGCCGGGGCAGTGGCACCAAAATGATCCTAGCCGCAATCAGCGTCAGCTCAACTCAATGGTCCTAAATCCTAATTGTGGGATAGTATGAGTATCTATTGCTTGGCCAACATAGAAGTTGGTGGCGCATTACCTCCTAAGATATAGAACAAACAAATGCAATGCAAGACATATCTTCTGGCGCCAAGATATTATATACTAAAGACATAATCATATGATGTTTTGTTTTATAGTAGCAAAAGATAGGATATCTGGATATATGTTATGTCATTATGGCAAAGAGAAAAACAAGTGTGCGGCATTGCTTAGCTCAAACTCAAACATTGCTATCCAAGCAGCAGCTGCATAAAGTAAGCACCCTCCATCCCAGGGAGGAGAGAGCATATGCAGAAAGAACGATGCCAGCTCTAACTACAAATACTCATTAAATTTATTACAGTAACAGCTTCTGCAGAAGACTTTTGAAAAAGAAAGAATGATGCCCATAGAGTCAAATTTAAGATGCTTGGAAGCTCTCGAGGGTGGTGGTTTTTTTTTCTAAATTCTAGATTGCCAAGGACATGGAGGATAAAATAACAAATTTGGAATTTTGCAACTGAGACAGTCATTCAATTTGATTAGAAATAACAAGCAGAATCCAAAAATCGAAATAACATTAATAAACTACATATAATTAGCACCATTGTCAAAATAAACAAAAAAATGAAAGAACAAAAGAAACTACACTCGTTGCTGCTTTGTTGCTTCCATTCTCTCCAACAAGCCAGCAATCTCGGCTTGCATTCTAGTCTTCATGTTGTAATAGTCACAATGTGAACTTTCCAAAATTTTCAGCTCCTCCAATTTCTTCCTTCGCCTTTCCTGTGTCTCTTGCAGACACAGTTTGGAAAACTTTTTAGCATACTCTTCCTCCAACTTATCCGTCTTTGTTTGAATCATCTGACGGTACCCTTCTGCCTCTCTCCGCGCTTCATCTGCCTTGCTCTGGAACATTCTAGCTTCAGCTTCCTTTATCCTCACTATGCTTTCCAAGCTCTCAAACCCATCTATTTTTGGTAATGTTCCAAACTGGAACTCATCCTCATTGCTTATGAGGGATGATTTGAGGTCATTCTGACGGGTATCATTTGACAATAAATCACATTGTATACTAGAACTTGTGTTGTAAGCAGCATATTTCGGAGGTAGAGAAGTGGATTGTGAAAAAGGAGTTGAATCTTTTCTCAGGCTAGCTTGAGTGACTGCCAACTCTTTCGTGGATATGCGAGAAGCAGGATATTCTGACACTCCATCTGTATCTATTCAACAACGAAAAAAAATCCAGAGTTAGGCATGAATAGATACTGAATAACTCGTACATTTAAGTTACGGACACATTTAGAACAAAAATATACACAATTCTTGGACATTATCAACTTCTCACAAGAAAAACCTTTCACAATATCTAAACTCAGGCGGCATGGAGATGATTTGACAGTGAAACCAAAAGGAAAGAAGAAAATAGGCCAGAAAGAAAATAAAAGAGTAGTTAACGTGTGGTGAAGCCGTCACAATCCTCAATTAAGCAATTCAGAGAGTATTCTTTTCAAAATAGTTCCAATTACACTAGCCATCGAATATGAACCATAGAGTACCCAATCAAGGTCCCCTTTACTGTTCCCACTTACTCTTTGTTTCACCTCACCACATTTTTCTCCTCCACTTATATTTGTGTGGAGTCTGACCCTAGCCCTCCCTATAATTTCATTACAGTAGTTATAAGAGATTATTCCTAACATGCAAGGAATAAGCCAAATTTATGCAGCAAAGCAGTTCATACTCCATAACAGAACCATACTCACTGTCCAAGACATGCATTTTAAAATTTCAGCTAATTACAATGAGGTCTAACAACAAATAGCAAGTAAATGAATAAATATGAAAGTTGAAATAGAAAAGGCAAGACGAAAATCTTGGGGACTTACAGTTAAAGAACTGAATAATGAAATTGCAGGCATCTGAGGGAGACATCATTTGGCTTCCAAGCTTGGAGATAATCTCCTCAGCCTTAATATGCAGTTCGCGGCCTTTAAAATCATCGCTTCTCCTAAAAATCTTCCTAACACAGTCAAGCTCCTTGATAAGGGTCTCTAGTCCCCAGTCCTTTGCACAGAACAGAAACACATCCTTAACGAAGCCGAACATTTCTGAAGCATGACCACATCCAATGCAATGAAATTGCATCTCACTTGTCCCAGAGGGCCCCTTCAAGCTAGGACCTGGCTTAATGAGATTCCTCTGAATACCACAAGCAGCATGGCACCAATGCCCACAAACATCACAGCCAACCCAACTACAAGTATTACTAGCACAGTCAAAATTCAAACAAACAGGACACATACAGGAACTGCAAAAACCCTTATTTGCAGAGCAAACCTTGCAGTCACAATCCTCAACAGGCAATAAACTCTTGCAGTTCACATTCCTACATCTCATAAACGAGAAAATCTCCACCAACTCGGTTGTGGGAAGACGGTTTTTGCCTGATACAAAGTTCCCAAGACCCATTTTCACCGCAACCAAAATCTCCAATTGGTCTTTCTGGCACTTAGCAAGATTCTCCTTTGT